TGCCGGCAGACTGTAGGTGAAGCGCCGGCAAGCCCCGGCCCCGCGTTTTGGGGTCTGAGCACCGGCTGGGGTCGCAGCTGGCCACCCTGCCTCTGCCCCGTCTCTCCTAGGGCACCGGGGACAAAGCCGGCGGTGAAGGGGGCCACCTTAGCCATGGGGCTGAACTCAGTTAAAATCCATTGCCAGAACGAAGCCATCTACCAGTACCATGTTACGTTCAGGTATTGGTGTGGGCGCGGGGGGCCGGGCTCCCCCGCAGCCCCTCGAAGGGTGGGTGCCCCCGGGCACCCCTCTGTGTCTGTCCCTCCCTCCCAGTAGCCGCTAGATGGAGCGGCCGGCGTGGCCACGGTGCCTGCGGGCAGAGCTGTGCAGGGCAGTGAAGCAAATGAGCTTCGGCTTTTCCCTCTCGTGGGCTTTGTGGGGTCCTGGGGGGGGCAGAGGAGGGTTAAAAGACCGAGGACTTGCCAGCGGTGGCAGGCGATGCATCCCTGTCTCCGGCAGCCCCGAGGTGGAGTGCAGGAGTGTGCGCTTTGCCATGCTGAAGGAGCACCGGGCGGTGACGGGGGACGTGACTGCGTTTGATGGCTCCATCCTCTACCTCCCTATCCTGCTCCCCCAGGTAAGGGGTGACGTTATCTGCACCGGGGTGAGGTCGTTCTAACCAATTTGGGGGCGCGGGGATGCCCTGCTGGGTCTCCCGTCAACATGCTGGGTAGGAGAGCATCCCGTCCACCCCGGCTAACGCACCGTCTCGCCCCGCAGCCGGTCAGTCTGAAAGCTCAGAGGAGAAGCGACGGGGAAGAGATCACCATCACCATCCAGATAACCAAGGTCCTCGAGCCCAGCTCGGATCTCTGCATCCCCTTTTACAACGTGGTTTTCCGGAGGTGAGGGACGGTGGGAGACCCTCCCTGAGCTCCAGGGAGGAGACCCTCCTCCTCCTCCTCCTCCCTCCGAGCCTGAGCCCATCCTGCTTTTATTTTTCTTTTCTAGGGTGATGAGAACGTTAGATATGACGCTTGTTAGGAGAAATTTCTTTGAACCTGCCCAGGCGACCATATTACAGCATTACAGGTGGGTGCCGGACACGGTTTCTTCCTGCTGCTGCCCAAGCACGTGAGTGCGAGACAGGGACATCCCCGTCTCCCCGGCAGTAGCGTGAGGCTGGAAATTTGGAAGTCTTTGCCAGGTCAGCTCTCTTGGCCAGCTCTCGTTAGCCTGACCTCAGAGCGCCTGTTTTCTGTAGTGCAATTCAGGGCTTATTAGCTGAAAGCTGGCAGACAGCTGGGAAATAAATCCCTGTGTGTTTTGAGCGCTCCTTGGCGAGCGGGACGGCTGCCCGGCTCCCCTGGCAGCGTCGTGCAGGCGGCTCCAGTTTTAACCCAGGCGCCTTTGGGCACCTTCCCCTCCGGGCACAGGCTGCAGATTTGGCCGGGATACTCTGTCAGCATCCGGAAGAAGGACGGCGGCCTCTTCCTCTTGGTCGACGCCATCCACAAAGTCATCCGCAGCGATTCCGTCCTGAATTTCATGTAAGAGAAGGGAAAAAAGCCTGGAGGAGCCCTGCGGGGCTTTAGGGATGAGGGTGGTTTTCCAGCAGCGGCATGCCTGGGGCCGGCTCTTGGCGAGGGCAGTGCCAGCCGTGATCACCGGGCCCGCGGTCACCGGTGCCGTTTGGCAAAAGGCATTGTATTTTTGGGGTGACGCGGGCAGGGAGCATCACCATGAGCCTCTCCTTCTCCCTCTCTCCCCGCTACAGGCACACCCTCTACAAGCAAAGCCTCAGCAGCTTCCAGGACGAGTGCACCAAGCAGCTGGTGGGCAACGTGGTCATCACCCGCTACAACAACCGCACCTACCGCATCGACGATATCGACTGGAACAAGACCCCGAGGGACAGTTTCACCCTGGCCAGCGGTGAGGAGATCACCTTTGCGGACTACTACAGGTAGGGACCTGCTGGAGCATCCCTTCCGTGGGGAAGGGCTTGATGCCTGGCTCTGACCCGAGGTGGGGGAGCAGGAACATCTCGCCTAATGCCATCTCCCTGCTGTTTTTCCAGCAAAGCCTACGGGATCACCATCAGGGAGCTGGATCAGCCATTGCTTGTCCACAGGCCCAGGGAAAAACAGACGCCGGAGGGGAAGGTGAGCCAGGCATGGAGACCTGGGGAGGGGAAATTGAGACCCACGGTCTTTTCTCGGCTCCTCCAGCCCCTGTCCTGCCCATAACTGGGAGGACAAGGGCTTGCAGCCCCCTCGAGGTGCTGACGGTGCCTGTCCCCCTCCCTGCAGCGTCGGCTGGACATGGTACTGCTCGTACCGGAGCTCACCTTCATGACCGGGGTCCCTGAGATAAGGAAGGACAGTCGAATGGTGAAGGTCAGAGCGTGTTTCCATCTGATGGTCCCTGCTCACGCAAGCCGGCGTTGCTTGGTTTGGAGAGCTGAGCCCCGGCCAGCCGCTGCCGGGGGGGAGCTCGGAGTCCCCCATCGCACCCGGGGGTTCCCCAACCTGCCTCCCCCCGTGCCCGCCCGCTGCAGGACGTGATGCGGGAGATGCTGCAGAGCCCCAGGCAGCACTACGTGCGTCTC